CTCTCTCTCTCTCTCTCTCGTTTTCTCCCGTCTCCCTCTCTCGATTATAAAGAGATGAAACTTCTAGCAAACAATCCCTTCGCCTCCTCGCGCTCCAAGAGACGGAAACAAAGGGACCCCTTTGTCTCCATCGACACTGAGCGAGATTGGACGCTTCTTCATCTTCCCATATGAGAACGAACGGAAGTTCACCGATTTAAGAATAAAAGTTCTGGATATTGCAAAAGCATCTCCAATCCTATGAGCTCTTCATCCCAATCGGCACCGAATGAATAAGCATTCAAGCGAAAGGAGGCTGAAGAGCACAGAATTCATCAATCAAATTGACATTAAGAGTATGTAAACCAATTCTTACAAGAAAACAAATCCATCAAATAACATAATTAATTAATAAAGTTAGGAGTTAGGAATCCTCTGCCAAAAAAAGGATGATAGGATTTGGTGGCTTATTCATTTTGTAGGAACAAATAATAATGATGTAAAGCTTCCACGATGTGAGGAAAAAATAATTTCTTCTCTATTATACTTTGATGCCTTATGCAACAAGTTGGTTTGATTTGTCCTTCATTCAGCCCAGAAGAATGTTTATTTTAGCCCTATTGCAAACTGGAACATTCACAACGATAGAGAGATAAAGAGTTTAATGTCTTAACTTTGAACAAATATTCAATCACACATATAGGTAAAGAGAGAGGGGTGTGAGAGCATAAGAGACACCAATATTTTTACATAAAAAAAAATCCTGAAAATGGGGAAAATCACAAAACTTGATTCAATATTTGTAGTTGATTACAAATGCTTGGGGGGAAATATTGGCTCAATGTATCATATAGAGTACATTACATCGTTGAGGTTGTAAGAATCCAATGATAAGGAAGTCATTCTCAAGAGAACGTTGGTCTGCTTATTTGGTTGGCAATGTTGTGTTTGGGCAATGAAGATCAAAGGGATTATAGTCGGCGGGTGTCGGAGGTTAGAGGAATCGTAGTCGGCAGGTGACAGTGGTTGGAGCAACCGTACTTCACAAGCAATGATGGTGGTAGGAACTATAGTTGGCGGGTGACGAAGATCAGAGTGATACAATGATCAAACAGAACGATAGTTGGCGGGCAACAGTGGTATGAGGAATTATAGTCTCCAAGCGACAGAGGTCGAAGGATCATAGTCGGCTGGCATTGGTGGTCGGAGGGGCTGACCGTAGTTGGCAGGCGACGCAGGTCTGAGAGACTGTAGTTGGCGAGCGACAGAGGTCGGAGGGACCGTAGTCGGCGGGCAATGATGATCAGAGGAACCATAGTTGGCGGGCAATGAAAGTCTGAGGGACCATAGTAGGTGGGAGACAAAAGTCGGAGGGACTGTAGTCAGCTTGAGACAGTGGTCGGAGGAACCATAGTCGATGGGTGACAGAGGTCGAAGGGAACATAGTCAGCGGGTGACGGTGGTTTGAGGCATCGTAGTCGGCGGGCGATGGTGGTTGGAGGAACCTTAGCCGGTAGGCGACGGAGGTCGGAGGAAACATAGTCGACGGGAGATGGTAATCAGATGGACTGTAGTCCGCAAGCGATGGAGGTCAGAGAGATAGTAGTTGGTGGGCGACGGAGGTCAACGGGCGATAGATGTATGAGGGACTGTAATCAGCGGGCTATAGAGGTTAGAGGAACTGTAGTCTACGAGAAACGGAGGTTAGAGGGATCGTAGTTGGCAAGCAATCGAGGTCGTAAAGATTGAGTGGGGAGGTGTGACAGAGGCCAGAGGGAACTTAGTTGGCTAGCGATGGAGGTTAGAGGGACTGTAGTGATGGGAGAAGGAAATCAGAGGGATCGTAGTCCTTGAGTGATGATGCTCGGAGGACTGTAGTCATAGGGTGACGTGGTATGAGAGAGTGACCGTAGTTAGCAAACGACGGAGGTTTGAGGGATCATAGTCGGTGGGTTATAGAGGTCGAAGGGTCATAGTAGGCGAGCGACGAAGGTCTAAGAGATCATAGTCAACGAACGACGAAGGTCCGAGGGACCACAGTCGGAAGGTGACGGTGGTCAGAGGGACCGATTATAGTCGACGGATGACCGAGGTGTGAGGGACCGTAGTCAACAAGCGACGGAGGTCGAAGGGATAGTAGTCGGCAGGCAACGATGATCAGATGAACAATAATCGGCGACCGATGAAAGTTGGAGGGGCCATAATCTGTAGGTGGTAGAGGTCAAAGGGACTGTAGTCGATGAGCGACTATGGTTGGAGGGACCGTAATCGACGGGCAACCGAATCGCGGGGATCTATTCGGCGGGTAACAAAGGTCAAACGAATTTTAGTTCGGTGGGTGAAAGTGGTCAGAGGGACTATAGTCAGTGGGCGATGAAAGTTGGAGAGACCAAGTTGGCAGGCGTCGGTGGTCGGAATGGTGTGTTGATGGCATCCCAACGAACCAACGACACTGGTTGGCCGCGGGAGGAGGTCCAGTTGAGGTCGGTGGCCAGGTGAAAGTCTAGCGGCGTTTGACAGTCGGACGGTGGTTCGACGATGGTCGAGCAAAAGTTCGGTGGCAGTCGACGGCTTGGTAGAAGTCCGGCGGCGGTTAGCGGCCAAGTGAAAGTTGTGCAGAGGTTCACTAGCGGTGGTGCTGGAGCTCTTGAAGCTTCACAATTCTTTTCAATCTCTAGCCAAATGCCCACCCTCATGTAGAGAGTGGGGGTCAATTTATAGATTTTTATTAGTGGCACACCCCGTGAATATAGAGAAGATCCAGTGCAGGTTTGGAGTGCTCCATCAAATGACCCGTATTGATTCCCCATATCATAGAGTGTTTTTGAAATGTTTAAGTGTCTTAGTGATGCCTGAATTCAGTGATCTTGGGCTAGTTGGATTCGTCTTGCAAAGTTACTCGATTCGATTATAAGCATATCATATTTGGATATCATTTTGTCATCCTATTAATGCTTTAAACTTTTCGAATATGCTTCAAAAACTTAATTCAGACCCATTCGGTTTCAGATTGGACCAATTTTTGCGTCGTTGGATTCATCTCTTCGAAACATTCAATTTGACTATAAGTTTGCTGAAATCAAAGTATAGATGGTCCCAAATTTAATTTTGTAAGCTTACAACTTTGATATATCTCAAGATTCATGTCCAATCAAGACAATTTTTGGTGACGTATCAAGCCTAATAAGTCAGACATGGTGATTTATATAATTTTTTATTGAGCACCACTTAAAAATATCAGAGCGTAAGCTCATCAAAGGGAAAAAATATTCTATGCGGAAGCCGAATGCAGTCTGGAAATCAACTAGAATATGCAACGTCACCCTTGCTTTGTACGACGGCTCAGTACTGCTTGATACCGCGACTCGGTATAACTCGGTACCGCTGACATGGCTGCACCTAATTCACCTCCGGACGCAGAGCTGCATCTGGCTTCCGCACATAATACCATTAAAGGAGGCACAATGGAGAAGCCATAAAAATAAAAATAAAAAAATTAATGGGTCGCATAAATTAATTTTATTACTTAAAGAAGAATACATTGAATTTTTATAGATAAAAATATCAAATAATTAGGGCTTATTACAAAAGTATATCTATACATTATTAGTCATAGATTTGAATGATAGTCTTCCCTTGAATGATGATTAGTTACATTTTTTTTTAGCTTATTTGATCAATTCATATATTTGATGATAATTTGACTCTTAACAAAACATTATGGAGAAAAAAAATTCATATAGCCAACCCCATATAATAGGATAAAGGTTGTTATTGTTGTATTTGATCAATTTATGAGATATCCAAATAGATATAAAGAACTCTAATCGATTTATTTATCTAAATAGAATATGACTTTTGGATAAAAGTCAACCTTATAAATACCTTCATAATAGAAATATAATAATTTCAGGACAAAAATGAAGACAAGGCTGTAAACACTTAATCAATTACTATATATTCATTACCAAATCACAAATTGATTCAAATTTCATGTCAATTCCTTCACACGCTACCCATAGGGATCTTTTACATGAATTTAAAAGAACAAATATTTTGATTGCAGTTTGTTGATGCATGTACTTTCATTTGAACTTTGCAAAAAGGCCATAGATAGAATAATTAATCATGTCTATAGGAAGAGATGATAGAGGCAACCCTCTTCAATATGTCTGATTCAGTTTCCTTCGGCTTGGAAATGGCTGTCCATTCCTGATAATGATGAAGACTCCCTGTGAAATCTGTAAACAACCCGTCCACGCCGATAACATTTATCCAATAATCATATTCATCATAAGGGTCCTGATGGAAGTTAAAATGCAGATATTGGTTCTCATTCCTGAACGTGTATGGGTGAACCTGTAGCAAACGATGGGTTACATTAAAGACTAACATCAATCAAAGATCTTTCAACATAGGATGATACTAAGTTCCTTAAATAAATGCGCGGTTAAAATATGGTCACATCAGTTAAAAGGCCTTATATTTTGCTAAAACAAAAGCGTTGTATTTGAGTAAGAAACTTTATATCTTCTAAAATGTTATTTTCTCATTAAAATGTCTTACATCAGTTAAACACTTGTATCTAAATCAAAGGTTTTATGTCTGAATAAAACACCTTATGTTTACATAAGACATCTTTTATATTATAACAAGGATATGTAGAACATTTTGTGAATCTCTTTACAATAATATTGATTAATAACAATTAAAATGGAACCGGAGAGTACCTTCAGTGGCGATCACTAAATTTTTGAATAAATAGACTTATTGTAAATAGAAAGCTTTTATTTTAGGGGGATCTACATACATAATATTTAAAACATTAAAATTTAAATATTTAACACCTAAATTTCACTATTTTCACCATCTAGCACTCCCTTAATAGAGTTAGTGAATCTTGTCGGATCTCGCACAGCACATCACTGGGCCCTTCTTCGCCTCCACCTGGATTGATTGGGTCCGTTGCAACCATCACTAAGCTCGCCACTGCCTTGAACTGCCGTCGATGCCTGCACCTATGTAATTTTTTTTAGCTTTTTTGTTGCAGAGGGCTTTAAGAATTTTGGTTGGGAGCACTGCCGCCACAAACAAGATATTGTCAGCAAAAGCATCGATGGGTGTAGATGCATCGAGCTCATAGGCGAAGGCATCGGCGTGTCCGATGAGTGGTGGGATGGAGTTGCATTTTTGGAGGGTGGGTGTGTTATTTGTTATTCTATTTGGATGTTTTGGATGATATGGATGTAAATAGTAAAGCTTATGTATGAAATATATAAATATCAATATTTTTAGTGCTATTTATATAAATCCCTCTTTATTTTAAGTTGCTTTGGATATATAAAGTAATAAGCGTCGAGTATCTCTGAAAAAAATAATAAATAATTAGACAATATTGCCTGAGTTGTACAAGTGTTACCTGGATATTATGAGCATGTGCTCTTGCAACAAGATCAGTGGCAGTAGACAAATGATTATCTTTTGGAGGAACTATGGTATCTTTCCATGGTCCGATCCCAACAACATAGTCCTTTATATAGGCAAAGTAACTATCTGAAGTTATCTGTGCATATGTCTGTAGCAAGAAACAAATCATTAACAAGGCTTTCAGGAACTATTGTAAGGACACCAGATAAGAGTTAGGATATATGGTTCTCAACCTTGAGATCAATCAATTAAAAGCAAAATAATAAAGAGAGAGAGGGGGAGAGAGAGAGAGAGAGAGAGAGAAGGTATCAAATTTTGTGGCTGCAAACACTGAAACGGCTTGTCTCAATGATTGTTTACAGAGTCAAGCTGATAGTTCCTATGCTGGCAAAAAAATTGAATCTCCACATGAAGCATTCTTTCTAATTATAACATGTTCTTACTACGGTAACTTATTTTTATGTTATTCACTTGTGTATTTCCAAATATGGCAAATATGAGAAACATTTTCTTCCAACCAACTTCATTACTTGATTTTTTTTTTATTTGGAATCAATCAGATTATTGGTAAAGTATAATTTTTTACAAATTAAGTGAATTTTAGATAATCACTTCTTTGGAGCCAAAAAATGCATGCTTGTGCATATGAACATATCCATATATCTACATGGATTCCACATCCATCTTATATTCATATGATTTCTTCGTAGCAATCAAGTATTTGTAATAATTGCAACTGGATTCAAAGCCGTTTTGCTGCCTCTAACGGAATTTTCACTCTTATTAAGCAATAGAAATTTTAAAGTTCTAGCATGCCCTAATTTTGAAATAAAATTCTAACCTAGTTCTAAAAGATAAGATTTTTAAGTTTATGAGTGTGTGGGCATCTGATGTCTCTCTTTATATGGATTGATAAGCCTCCTTCTTCTTACATATATACAAGTGTGTATGCACTGAACATTTTGAAATTTTAATTCTAGAAGAACCAATTTGAGAGCAACGGTCATCAGAAGACAAACATAAGAGAGCAAGATCATATTATGTGAGTTCTTACTAGCCAGATAAAGTTCAAATGAGATTTAAAATCCAATAGTTATGATTACTTCAAAAATACAACAAGAAGGGTGTTTACTTCCATAAGTGCTTTTTAACTCTAGTAAAGACATAAAGCTAACCTGGTTAGTGTCCTGAGTTGGAATGTTGACATCATCAATCAACAATATTTTGGGAGAATCTGTCATATTTGAAATATAAATAAGGGAAGCCGGGGCAAATGACTGTATGAACACGGGTTGTTCTTGCCACTCCTTTGATTTGTAGGAACCTTTATAACCATACTTAAGAAGAGTCTCCACAAATTTATCTTCAAACCTCTTTCCATCCGCCCATTTGACCTGGCAAAAGTTGAAACCAAGCAATTACAAGCAGTATGAAAATAAATTAGAAAGGAGCAAAACGCTACAAGCTGTTTGGGTTAGATTATCGAAATAATGGATTTAATTATGTCATGAGTATTGGAGTTTCGTTTTCTCCAAATGGGCATCAGTTTAATAGCGAAGCCAATTGTGGAAGTAGTAAAATCATTTAAGAAAACAAAACTATATATATAGATATAGTACAGAACAAGGGAGCATTATTTTCTGAAGCCACAAATAAATGATTTTATGATGCCTATTTTATCAAAATCTTTCTAAAGACAGTAACACTCACGTGCTGGTTGATTAAAACAGGATTCTTGATTTCTGGATATATACCCACAATCCTGTTTGCATCTAGAGCAATTGCAATAAACTCCTCAAATGTGATAATTGAAAATTTCCCTGCATTAAAATTAATAACATTGTATATATTAGTCGTCACAAGAGAGCAACGGTTCACAAGAAAACAATTTCCTCGAAGTACCAAAAATAACCACTTTGAAAACAATAGCAAATTAGTTCAAAACAAAGAGCAACTCTTCAACAACTGCTTATAATTATAAAATCAATCATAATCCCTCAGAATTATTATCTAATACTCCGTTGTTAGCTGAAAAGCTTACATGTTTAGTTGAAACTTAAGCGAAACATTGCACTGACTTCCGGTTCAGATTGAGCAGCAAGATGGCGTAAGAAAAGGGAAAATAAAGCATTAATCATTCGGTGAATGATCACTTCTGAAGAAAAGAAGTCCTTGCACAGCAGCATCGGTAAAATTTGAGCTAGAATAGACCTTAGTCCCTGAATAATATGAAGCTTGCTTCCTAGTTTACAACTAAATCTAAAAAGTTGTACTCAGACGAACTTCTACTCTCAATTGTCAGCTCTAAATTGAATTGAACTATTGCCATGTTGACCTCGTCAAATGTAAGCTGTACACTTTTTCTACTTGAAGGTAGCTTTCCATCTCATGAAGAGTGAGATGCACACAAGATAAGGTAAATTCCACGCAGTGATGCTACCATTCGTAAGAATTCCGCCCATCAATGGGATTGCCATTGCTCAGATAAAACTTAATTATCTTAAAAACCGGATGCAAACTAATTTCACAACTCTTCTCCTTTGCACAAGTGAAATATGAGTTCAAAGGCATATACAGAATTACTGCTTCGTCAAAATTGAAGCTAATGGTCGTGGCCATGTCAATTGTACATGGTGTTAGTTAAGTATATTGCAAGTTTACAACCGCAACATGCAAAGCACAATCAGGTTAAGATTGAAACTAACCATTGTATTGTTGATCTCGAAATGGAAAACGCTGTTTCAGCCTCAATGATTTAAGTTCATCAAGTATGAAGTCCACTGCAACAACAACAAAAATAAGGCTGAATCAAGCCCATTTTTTTATGTATTGTTGATTAAAAGAAAAAGAAATGTTGAAGTTCATGTGATAAGAAACTATAATGTGGTGTGGGCAAAACATACCTACGAACCAACCAGTCATATTTTCACCTTGAACCTCATATGTAGTTTTGCGACTGGCAAACTCCTTATGATCAGCAATATCAGTGATATCATCAAGATTTACATCATGAAAACAAATCAGTGCACCATCCTTAGTAGCAAGGATATCAGTTTCTATAAAGTCAGCACCTTCTTCAATAGCTCTCTGTATGAAACAAGTAAGATGCTTACACTAGATGCTTTAAAAAGAAATATATATAAAATACAAATAAAGGAATTCTCATATAATTAGGAAATAATATATAAATTTCTAACATCATACTACATATCCTTGGTAAGACACATCCATATAAAAATCTTATAGTTGAATTAAAAATTGTGCGCAGGAACAATAGGTTAATGCCACTGGTTGTTTACCATATAAGCATCCACTGTTTCTTCAGGAATTTCACCATTTGATCCTCGATGAGCAATATTGTATGGACGAAATGACTGCAGGGGTTCTTTATGCTTGTTCTGTAATTTACTTGGAAGTTCATAGAATGGTCTCCCAATTGCCTGATCAAATAACGAGAGAAGAAGAAATGGAATAAACCCTGTCACAAAGAAGTCAAGGCATCAGCATTCTTGTTGCTGAATTTGCAATGTAAAATCGCAAGACTATGGAAGAGCAGCCACAAACGAATCCCAATTCGTCAAAGAAAGACAAGAAGCAAGAATTTGGTAGGATGCAGAAGCCCGTAATTGCAAAGGGGACCATTACGCTATAACACATAATGCCCCATTGGATTATACAGTTACATAACTATAATACAATGGAGGGAGCCTCATTCCAGTATTGCCACCACCAGTGGGGAATGGGGATACAAATGTTAACAAGAGTGATATAACTTTGATTATCATTCAAATGTATGGAATCCTCACTTTTTTGCACTTATTTTTGCATATATTACCAAAAATATACTTAAAATTAACCGCTTCAACACCAGCATGTCACAAAAGGGTATAATACTTGAGAGAAATGTCAGGTGAAGCCAAACATCACAGCTTAACAGTAGAATGAAACCGAGGAGCTCAAAAAGATCTTTGCTTTACTTTTTTCCTTATGTTTTTGTCTCTTATTATGGGCTAAGCAGATCCATCCAAACATGCAGTTTTTTTTCAGTAGATACCAGCAAATTAATTAGATAAAAATAACATTCAGCCAATAAACCCTGAGAAATATAGAGGCAATCAGCAATTTTGCCTACTAAACAATTAAAAAACATGTGTAGAATGTTTGTGTTTAAATTTCGATATTTAATTTGGATGCTCTGATGATCTCATTTGAAAAAAAAAAAAATTATTGAAATCATATATTTTGACTCTTTGGAATTATTTCTTGATGTTTAGCTCGCACTCTTTTTCATATGTTTCCGTGATTTCCTTCCATGCCCGGGGGATGGGGAGCGACATTAGCAACTTTAATGTTGAAGATGAAAATTAATACTGTGATCTTGAATATGTAGAAGAGATCTTGATCCATTCAAGAAACGCCCAAATAATCAAACAATAGGCGAGAATGAGTAGAGGCTATTGGCTTAGAAGCAGGGAGAAAAACACCCGAGCACAAAAATTCCGACCAAGCGCCACAGATGAACGATAAAACCAATAGCTAAACTTTTAGATAATCGAACAAGAAAGCTTACCAACTGAAAATCCATATGGAATGAAATGGAAGCGACAAAAAAGATTGAATCTTGGATGCAAAGTTACCCTTTTAAAAAATGAAAAAGGAAAGTTGCCGAAGAAAGCAAGAAATTAGCGATAGCTTACAGAGTGAAATCATTTTCTTATCCCCCGAGCTCCTCATTAACGAATCTGATGCCGTTACTAAACCTCTATCCCTTATTTATATCGTGGAAAAAACAAATAAATAAAAGGAAATTAAAAATGTAATTATTAATTATTAAACGTATATTATTGATTGATTCCTTTATTTTTAGGTTATAATAATTTTTAAGAAGAAACAGGGAATTTTTTTTATAATATTTATATGAAATATCGTTGAATCATCGTAATTAATTCAGAAGCCGCTAACATAATTTTTGTAATTATTTTAGCAGAAAACAGTGACCGAGACAGAAATTGTTTTTAGGAGGGGCCTAAATTAAATTTTTTTAAATTTTCTTTAACTTTTTACATACGGACTTGGGACCGATATAATAAGCTTTAAAAATGATCAAACTTTGATAGTGAATTAGTTTTTTTTTCCTTCTCAAAATGACTTTCAATCATCAAATCACTTGATTTCTGCTAGAACAGGTTCAATATATTAACTAAATATGTGATATTAAAAATCTCATTACACAAAAAAAAATCATTAAATCTCTTTAAGATCTAATCAATACAAGATTAAGCTAATATCACTAAGAAAAAAAAATGTAAATGAATAGGAAATTAAATGGCTCGTTGGATTCGCATCGTCTAGCCGCTCAATTCAATTATAAGCAGGTTATGTTTGGAACCCATTTGATAATCCAAATTATGGTTTAAACCTTCCAAATATGCTTCAGGTCTTTGATTTAGAGTCATTTGGGTTTGGATTGAGTCGAATTTGATGCCGTTGGGTTTGTATTTTTGAGACGTTCAGTTCGACTATAAGTTTGCTGAAATCGGAGTTCAGATGGTCTCCGATTTAATTTCTAAAGTTTTCAACTCGATTTTATGTATAGATTCCCTATTTTTTCAATTTTTTTAGAGTGGCAGAAAATAAAGCCTTTAAAGCATTGAAATGTTCTATATATTGTTATTTTTTATTTATTATACGGTCAAATATGTCGGATTATTATTATTATTATTATTATTAAGTTCTTTGATTATGTAAAAAAATAATTTTAAATAGAATTTTAAGGATGATTGTGGTGGTAAGCGGCTATTTAAAAAGAGAAGAAGGCATTAATTGAACCAATAGGATGTTAATAGTAGGAGAACTCTTAATTGGTTCATTCATTGTAAGACCAATTTAAAATGTAAATCAATAAGAGAAGGGAATATGTTGGTATCTTCCTTTCAGAATGAAATGAAGATGATGGTGACTGCTTCTCGACGCCTTACTCCTTGCTTTCCTTTCCGATTGCGTGGGGATACAAAATTATTAGTAAATCACGGGCACTTTTTTATCTGCTTTCTGGGCCAAAAAATTTATAAATGTAGAGTGAAAAAAATATGTATCAAGATCTAGCACATAAATAAAAAAGCAAAAGAGATTTGGAGGCGTTAGATATTTTTTACTTCGAAAAGTCCAAAAAAAAAAAAGAAAATCATGGGATTTTGTCGAGTTGGGACTGATTCAATTATATATGCATTTTTTTTAAATCCTAGGAACTAGATAGATCCTATTCAATTATGTATGCGTTAATTATAGAGATTGGTCGATCTCATCAAGATGTTAAAATTATAAGGGAATATATCAAAGTAATTTTTTTGGGAATGTATCAACCAATAATTTGTCTCTCTAAATAAATCTTTTTTAATATTTTTGTTTGAGCAAACATGCTAATTAAAATGCTCTTTAAATAAAAATATCCTTAAAAACATGTGAAAGTAAAAGAAATGAGAATCTCAATATCGAATTTCGTTATGGTGGAGCTGGCATAGTGTCGATTCTTCGAACCAAACGATGGATGCGTTCACTTGTTTGCACCACTTCAAATCTTAGTTCGAATGAGTTTTGAATTCATATTTGAACTTTGGTTTGAATCAAGTTTAAATTAGTTAGAACTGTTTCATAAGGCTTAAAATACCAAAATGCTTGGTAGTTTAGGTTAAAAGATGTTCAAATGGTCAATTTGACCAATCATGATCAAATATGGTCAATTATGACTTTAAATTGGTTTAGGCATGAACAATGATGAATGTAGAAGTTCTAGGGATTAATCCTAGGGTTTTGAACTATGTTTGGATCAATTTTCATACATAGATTTTCAATTTAAGGATTTTAATGGGTTTAAGGGTCAAGCTTGGTCAACCATAGGTCCCATTGAGTTCAAATCATTCAAAAGATGATCATGAATAACTTTACATCACTTCCCAAGGTTTAAAATGAAGCTTAGTTCAACATGTCATGTTGAGTGGCATATTTCATGTTTTAATATTCATATACATATAATTGAAGAAATAAATATTTGCTCTTAAAGTGAGTTTTAGATCCCAAAAGAGAACTATGTTGAAAAAACTCATAAATCAAGCTGATCATATTAATTGTGATATAGAATAATGTTGAAGAACAAACTTAAAATAAAAATGAATAGATAAAAAATATGCATTGGTACACTACATTGAATATCATCAAATGAACATCAATTGAGATAGTGTTACAACGATTATGAAAGATATGTAAAATCAAAAGTTTTTAGAAGAAATGCAAAGAAGTTGAGTCTTTGACGAGGGATACCTCCCAACTTGGGGGAAAGAGCACATTACAAGAGACCATGTTTGCTTAACTCCAAAGAATGAAAGCTAGTTGATAAATGAGTTGATGTTATTGTATTAAAAGTGGTCATATTTCTAACCAGCGACGGAGCCAATATTTTTTTCTTGTGAGAGCACAATTTACTTTAATGTACATATTCTTCATTTTTTTCATTTAAATCTCTCTCCATGTATAATAAAAATAAAAAATTAACAAATTTAATAGTAAACTATTTAATTTCATCTAATCCAAAAATAAATAAATAAATAAAAACTTGAATCAAATATTACAATCCTCTTAATAATGTACATCAATCAAATTTATTTTTGTCAATTCTACAATCCTTGAATGAAAAAAAAAAAAGAAATATAATAATTAATTTAATTCAATTGTAATTATTTTAACTTAGATTATAAATAATAATTAGGCTCATTTTTATTACATTATAGTTAGTCTTATCACTTTCGCTTCCAAAGAGATTTCAGCGCACCATAAAAAAGAAAAAATGAATATATTGAGCTTCCTTGAAATCCTATGGCAGTATCAGTTTGCTTTACCTGCTAGCTTCAATTAAAGAAAATAGCATTATTATTATTTTTTTAAGAAAATAGAATTATAAACTTTCTTTTTTTTTTTTTTTTACGAGGAAACTTTGTCCTTAGGCCAGTGTAAATCCCGGTTGACCTAACATGCAACCCACACCAATTTTACATGGGCTAACACTTAAGACTTTCACAACTTGCTAATGGATTCGAACCAGAGATTCTTTTACTGATCAATACCAGTACTTAACAGTACATGAATTCTCTCTCTCTAGAGAGAGAGAGAGAGAGAGTTGTGAAAGGCCGACTTCCAAGAAGCTAGGCAGCTGCATTTGAAAGAACAGCAAGTCTTTAATTCACTTCCAACCATACGTTGATCCCCAAAGTCCTCAAGTGTTAGTCGTTCGTGGTCCTAAATGTAAAGTTATTTTTCCAAGAAAAAAAAAATGTAAAGTTGGTCAACAATGATGGTTTAAAATGTAATAATGAGAATTACCATTTTATTTATCATTCTTCACAATTGGAGAATATGCAGCTATAATATAATAGATTTTTTAAGTTTGGGAGGTGATACGGCATGCAAAAATTATCTTGATCGGGCTCGAATCTCGAGGCAAAATGAGTTTGGAAACTTCAAAAATTAAATTCAAGAACGTATGAGCTCCGATTTCAGCGAGCTTACAGTCAAACTGAGCGTCTCGGAAATACGAATCCAACGACACCAAATTTGACCCAATCCGAGCCCAAATGGGTCCGAATCATGGACCCGAAGCGCTGTTGGAAGGTTCAAACCGCAATTTGAGTTACCAAACGGTCTCCGATTTTAACGAGCTTATACTCGAATCGAACGGCTCGACGAGACGAGTCCAACGAGCCCAAGATCACAGAATTCAGACATCACTAAGGCCTTCAAATGTCCAACAAACGGTGCATAATCGTAGAATTCAATATCGGCCGTCCATTTGACCACTCCCTATTCGCCCCTGATCTCACGCCTATTTACGGGTCATGCCACTCCAGAAAATCTATAAATAGAGCCCTCATTTCTCATGAGAGGGGGACTCAAGCAAGAAGAGAAGAGGAGAAGAGGAGGAAGAAGCTCCTCCTCGACCACCGCCGGAACCTCACCGGACCACCGCAGGAGCCTCGCCGGACAACCGCCGGAGCCTCGCCGGACCACCACCGCCTCTTTTTGACCCCGGTCTTATGCCGACTACGGTCTTCCCGACCTCCGTCGCCTACTATGGTCACTCCGACCTCCATCACCAGACAACGGTCTTTCAGACCCCAGTCTCCTGCCGACTACGGTCTTCCCGACCTCCGTCGCCTACTATGGTCCTTCCGACCTCCATTAATAGACAACGGTCTTTCTGACCCCGGTCTCCTGCCGACTACAGTCCTTCCGACCAAACAAACATGTATATGTAACTCCTACCATGTAATGCAATCTATATGATGTACATTTGCTACATCAATCCAAGGCCTTCTCCGAAGGAAGGGCCTCATTTGTAATCGACTACAAATACTAGTGGATTCATTCAAACTGGGCCAGGCCCAGTGGTTTTTCTCCCTTTTCAAGGGTTTTCCACGTAAAAACTCTGGTGTCTCTTATGAATGTTTCACCCTCTCACTTATCTGCTTGTGTGCTGGATCTTCGTACAATGCTAAGACGTTAAACCATATATTTCTTTACCGCCGCGAATATTCCAGGACGCAACAGGAGGCATTTCGTAGAACTCCAAATCATCAAAATGAAATTGCTTTACAATTCGAAAAGATCAATTAGATTTGTGATAATTTTTAATATTTAAATAATTAAATAAAAAAGCATTTAAATCCCCTTTTTATATTTCATTTACTTAATTACAACATAAATCAATGATTAATCATAATTAATAGATTTTAAAAAAGAAGCTAAGAATTGT